CCCCAAAACCCCAAAACCCCAAAACCCCAAAACCCCTAATTATTAATAATAATTTGAATTTAATGTCATTTATTAATGTTCACACTGGTGAAGCAGGTAAGCTTCTTCCTCATCGACTTGGCATAGGAGCCCAAGCAGGAGAGTCAAGGGTTACCAAGAATATCAAGACCAAAAAAATTGGGAAGAGAAGTGGTAAATCAGCAAAACTATGTGTAGAATCCAGAAAGAGAGCCAAATCAAGGAGAAAGAGAAGAGAGAAAGGGTACATTTTAAGAAGCAATCAGTTTTAGATTCTCAACCCCACTTATTGAAAGGATCAAAGTGATTAATTCTATTTTTCATGGTGAGGAAGACTCTGATTTTTAGATTACGAGGCTAGTGCTAAAGCTCATGGCAGCTCTTCTGAGTCCACCAAGAGCATTGCAGATTATTTCATCGTGAAGATCAATCAGTGCACCCAAGATCTTTGATATATGCAAGATATTTCAGCTAGTATTCCTCATGATGTAAGCATTATTTCACAAATATTTAGAGTAAAGTATCACTCAAGATTTGTGAACTCCTCGAAATTACCTCAAGAAATGCAATTAAGATTGTCAGTGACTCAGGAATGATGGATAGCTCAAAAATCAATTTTGCACTCATCTATTATGTTCAAGCTTATGCAGCAATGCAGAGTGGCAAAATTAGAGTAAGCTTAACCACCAAGATTTAGAGAGCAATTGCTAACCTTGAGATGGCAATCCAGTACCAGAAAGTAAGGGATTTAAACTCATTTTAGGAATATCTTAATGATCTGATTGCCGGCAGAGGCAATGTCAGGTTTGAAGCAGAAGGATACCCTCTTTTGAATCATGGAGAAGATATCCAAGACCCTCAATATATGGAAGAAGGGACCCTTTCAAAGAGAATTCAAGAGAAATATGATAAAGAGGTAACATCAGACAGTATAAGTTACAGTACTTTTTGTTGATAAAGATGCTATGGCTTAAATGAGATGTGAATGAATGAAGGAATAATCTACAACAGTGAATCGAAATCTATAATGAAACCATGGATAGTAAACTCCAATTTATATCATAGTGATTTCTACAAATTATGGAAGATCGAATCCGGCTTATCAAGAGACTAGCAAACGTAAGGGTAAAGTAGTGCTGAAAATGTCTAAGAAATACTCATCGAAAACAAAGAAGAATCTGATTATAAAATAATTCAATATTTTCTCCTGCAAAACCAATTATCTCTTCTACAAAAGCTAGCAGAGGATCTAGCAGGAAGAAGAGAAGACAGAAGTTATTTGACTCTTTAAACCAGAAAGCTACATTTCTCATTGAAAAATCAACGAGAAACATGAATTTCAATGTCGAACCAAAGATGAAATTAGGGCTTAGATCAACAATTGATGAATCTTTTGACAGGTCTTTTAGTAGTAGGACATCTACAAAACCTCTCTACTTTCCTTTCCCAAACACCAAGATTGGAGATGGAACTAAGATAATAAAAAGACCAAAGTCTGCTTTTAGGAAAGATAAAAGCTTTTATTCAACTAAAGGGAGGGAAAAATCATCAGGGAAGAGCTTTTTCATTAAAACCTCTATAAAACCTACTATGAAGACGGCTTTTTATAATTCAAAAAGTGGGAAAGGCAAGAGAATATTCTCAAATAGAAAGCCGAGTAATGTAAGTTAATCCTCTCTAAACACCTAGAGCTCAGGGAATAGTTCAATCCTGGATGATAAGCATCACACTGATAGATATAAGTTGCTACAGGCAACTAGCAACCCTTCATTTATGGCCCCTAGGATTGGAAACATGAAACAGAACATGGGTGCTCCTGTTTACGAGCCTTACAAAGAGACAAATAGTAAGTTTTGAATAACATTTTAGGTCAATTAAGTTCTATGGAGAAGGATTACCTTAACAGATATCCGCTAACACACTCTGAGATCAGTGATATTATCCAAAGAAGGACTGGAAGCTCAAAAGCTGGATCCTCCTCAGTCCATGACTCTCTTACAGGAAAACCTGCTCAACCTGGAGACTATCCTCCAACCCATGATTTTGTGAAACGAACTGAGATTAAGCATCTTTTCGAACAAATGGTGCAAGAAAACCAGGAGAAAATCAAAGAGCCAGTTGATACCAAGAGTTTTAGAAATATAGGAGAGTTCTCAAAGGCTCTATTGATCGAAACTCCCAAAACTAAGAAGAAGTCTAAGAAGGAGAAATCCCAGAATGTGTATGTCCACATCGAGATAAAGCAGGAGGTGGCAACAAAACAGATCAGAGTTTTTGTCAAAGACATCATGCAAAGAAGGTAATATTTGCAGTTATTTTTAGGGATTATGAAGTACTGGTTTCACCCATTCTTCTCCCGCTGAGTGATGAAGACTTACTCAGTTATATCACTAAAGCGCTTAAAGTTCAATATGGTAAAGGTATGCACTTTTGTGGTATTGGTATAGATGGAGAGTTGAAGTTTTTCTTTGATGAGTTTAAGAGAAGGAAGAATAAAATAGGTAATTCTAGGAGAGATAATCCTTCAATTGAACCTTCATCACAAAGACAGAAGCTTGAAATTGACATCAACGACCTCGAAGAATTTAAAAGAGAAAAGAATGACCAAATAAAAGAAGAAAGTCAACAATCCCTCCCTCAAAACATTAATATCTCATCATTCCACCCAAAACCTTCTGATAAAAACACACCTCCGCACAAAAAGTCCCACCTCCAAACCCCTTCCTCCCCTTCCAACCCTCCAAATCCCACCCCAATCCCTCACCAAGTCCAAATCACCCACCAATCCAACATCTTCCCCTCCACCTCTTCCAAAAGTCCTTCTCCTCCACTATCCCCACATCCCCAGCCCACATCCCCAAAATCCCCTTGCTCTTCTAACTCAGACCTCCACTTAGAGTCAGCCCAGTCCCGTTCTTCAGGAAAAGAGGATTATAAGGTTGAGGTGAAATCTTCTGAGAAGTCAGCTTCGGAGATAACAGGTGAGGGGAAGAATTATGGTGTAGAGCAAATTGATGAAGCTATTAGTGAAAGTGATATTAAAGAGGAATTAGAAAGTAGTCAAAACAAGAGTGAAGATAACATTGAGAATAAAGGACAGATAGAAGAAAAATTGGAGGAAGAGAAAGTAGCGAGCCAAGTGAAAAATGTCAGGTTTTATGAAGATAAGCAAGATGAAGAAGAGATAACCCCTCTCTCCCCTATCCAAGACTCCAACCCCCCTACAACCATCACAGAACCCCCTCAAACCCACCCAATTCTCTCCAAATCTTCCCAAAAACCCCCTCCCCATCCCAAAGTAACCCCACACCCTCCAATTCCCAAAATCTCACCTCTCTTCTTACAGATCCAGCTCCCACATTGTCGAGCCCAGAACAGAATTTCGACCATGAAGACCCCCAGATCTCAGAATCTATAGTACTTCCACCCATCCTCACACATAGAAGGAAGAATCAGGCATGGGAGATTGGTACCCTCAGTCACAAAGCTTCGATAAAATACAATTCTAGGTTCAATCCTGCTAGTGTCTTAGGGGTTTTGGGGTTTTGGGGTTTTGGGG